CACTGTACCATAATCCAAATTTCATTTTTCCGCATGCCTACAACCACACAGGTTGAGTCATGGATACACAAGCCACTGACCTTGTGCGTCTCACTACTTCAAAGCAACTGCCGAAATAGTAATGACTTTGCTCACACTGTGACTGCCAACTTGGCACATGAAGATCTCTAGCTCGAGGTCAGCTTCTGTAAAGCTGTCGCCAACTTGGCATCCTCGGCAGCTTCCACGTAGGTACGTATTAGCACGGGGATATCCTGTGCTAGAGACTTCAAAGGCTCCCATGAGTCCTCTATGGGCTCTAAGCCGCACCAACTCACTAGGAGCTCAAAAGCCTGGTTCTGTTTGTTCCAACGGTGCTTGTTAAGTCGGTTAACCTTCAACACAATGCCCTGGGAGGCGACGTGCTCCAGTAGCTCCTCCGTAACTTCCAGGTCGCTGTCCGCGTAGAACTTCAAGCGTGAAGCATGCACATCTTGCTCCTTGCCGGTAACGAGGTGCCGAACACGAAACGAATGAGAGTCCGCACGAGTAACTACGTAGGGACCGATCCAGGTGACTAGCAACTTGTTGTGTCGTCGCTCATCGACACGTGATCGTAGGACGTAATCACCCTGTGCACCTCTGGATTTTCTCTTGTTCAGCAACGTGTTTTTCTCACGCTTGTCCTTGACGGCACAGTGCATGTCCTCAATACTGGAACGTAGTTTCGCCAGAGAATTCTCGATGACTGCACTCGAAATATCGCCTGCCTTAGGCTGCTCTTCAGGTACATGCAGGATGTAGGCTGGCGCTGGGCATGGCAAGCCAGTGAATACCTCAACAGGGGCCTTGTTAGCTAGAGAAGCCACCGGAGAGTGATTCATGTTAGATTGCACCAAAGGTATAAGATAGATCCAGTCGTTGTGCGAAATCTTGTACTCCATAATCATTGCACGTAGCACTTGCAGTATATCTCTGTTTGCACGTTCCACAGATCCATTGATCCACGGACTATACGCCACTACGAACTGCTGTTCACATTTCAGTCGCTTGCATAATTCGGCAAGAACTTGGTTCTTGAAATGCGAGCCACTGTCACTGACCCATACAGGCGGTACACCGAACCGACTGTGCCACCCAAGCAGGCCATCAACTGCAACCTCACTTGTTGGTGTATCACACGCAATCAACTCGCAGAAATGGGTAAAGTTGTCCTTCAGCAGTAGTAGGTACTTGCATGAGCCAAATCCATCACCCAAATAAAGGAAATCCCAGTGTAAAGCTCCATTGCGAATGTCAGAGCGGTACAGCTCACCCCATGGTCTAGGCACCACCCTACCTCCTTTTACATGCTGACAGAGCAAGCAGGAGCGCAGGAAACGACGAACTAGAGCAGAGATTCCCTCAATCGAAAATACACGGCGAATGTGGTTCAAGACCACGGCTTCACCACGGTGACCCTGTGCCCCACAATGAGCGATGATCAGGAGTCGCTGGATGAGAGCCGTGGCAGCAGTAGGTATCCAAATATAGCCATCAAGTCGGTAGACACCATGTCCATCTGCAGCACTAGCAGTAGGAGCAGAGGCTACATGAGCCGCTTGCGTAGCCGCGATTTCACTCAACGTCGGCCACGTGAAGTTCTCTTGGTCGAGAGGCCGAAGCAGAGGCTTCCGAGAAACATTAGTCTGTGAACGAGTCACTCGCTTCAAGCTAGGCTTCGTAGTCGTAGATGCCGTAGGGGTAGCAGCGCCGCCCCACCGACTAAGCATATCCGCCCACAAGTTGTTGACACCCTCGATGTGAACGATAGTATAGCGAAACTCCATGAGTTTGACAGCCCATCGAAGTAATTTTCCACGTACGTGCTTCTTTACTTCTTGTCCAGGGGCAAAAACATGAATGAGGTTTCGGTGGTCACAAAACACCTTGAAACCACCGGGCCTCAGCAACAGGTAGTCAAGGTCTTCACAGGAGAGCACGATTGGTAGTGCCTCTTTCTCAATGACGCTCCAGTGTAGCTGAGCGCCAGTGAACGAACCGCTCTTGCATACCAGTAGCTCATGTTTCTGTTCAGTAATTGCCACTCCTTGTTTCCATTCACCCACTTGAGTAAGGACCGAAGCCCAACCGTAGTCACTCGCATCTGTAAACAAGCAGTAAGGTTGCCCTGCTCACGCCCGGTGTGTTCATCTGTGTCGCAGCTCCTGCCAGGAACCTTCTGACCCAGTTTCCAAACTCGCGGAGCTCATCATTCATCCAAGGCGATGCTGATCCCTGAAGCAACACGCTTCGTCTTTCGTTTACCAGCAAGTGCGCGATCCAACAGCGATTGCAACGGCCGAACGGTGCGAGCGTAGTCAACCAAACTGTCTCGCATCCAGTTCGTTGCGCAGATAAACTGCTGTAATTGTCCCGCTGTGACTGGCACTGGCATTAAAATGAGCCCATCAATCCGTTTTGGGTCATGGCGAACACCATTCTCATCAATCACCTTACCACACCACGTAACTGAGCGTTGGTACAACGAGGACTTCTTCAGACTCAACTTCAATCCGAATTCGTTCACCAAGTCAAACAGTCTCTCTAGAGCAACAAGGTAACTCTCTATAGTGTCAGAGTAGAACAAGAGATCGTCAATCCAGATAAGTAAATTGTGATCGAGTAGCTCAGCGAAACAGTTCTCCATCGAGACTTGAAAATGTAACGCCGAGTCACAACTTCCTTGCATCACACGGGTTGGCGTGAACACGCCCTCATCCGTCATATACGAGAGCTGCTCTCTGCATTCTATCGCCACAGCAAGTTGCCAAAAGCTGCGGATAAAGTCGAAAAGACCGTAGTGTTTCTTTCCTTTCAATCGCTCCAACTTTGTCTTCAAGTTTGGCATAACGCCTGCAATTGCTTCGGTCATCGCATTCAATGGCTTGTAATCCACCGCTTGGCGAAACTCATTGACCTTCGGCTTCTTAAGAGGCAGAGCAGCGCAAGCCCAATGACTGCTAGGGTTTTTGTAAACCCAGCCAAGGCTCACTAGAGTCTGGTTGAACTCCTTCAGGAACGCACTCTGTAAGGGTCCGTACTGCCGAGCTTTGCAGCGGAAAGGCTTTGCATCCTGCTTCAAGCGAAGCTTGTACGGTGGCACCTTAGCAGGAGGGTCGTCACAGAGAACTAGCCGCCAAATGTCGTGCTTCTTAGCGATTCGACGCAATTCCTTCATGAATTTCATTGGAAAACCGTTATCCAGTGCAGTAGTGAGCAGTTTTTCAAGGCCTCCCTGGATATCAAGGTCATTTGCATGACCAGGCCGAAATTCATCATCCCTCGCAATGGGATCCTCATCGTCATTGAGTTTACCACCAGCAAGTTGCTCGAGTTGTCTGTCCACATTGATTCCAAGAGAGAGCAGCACATCGTTGCCGACGATAAATTCATCATCGTTTTGCTCAATAATGAGACAATTGACGGGTTCTGCGAGCTCCACAGGTCCAGCAGCAGTATGTAGACGAATTGCCAGCAGTACAGACTCACGCGCTTCAACATCGTGACCGCCAACAGCTTTCCCAATCACTGGTGTGCTCAACGGGACAGACTTCACGTTGTCGTCGAGCCGCATGAGCTCGTTGAAGTTGTTCCGACTCAACAGGCACCTGTCCGAGCCTGTATCCGCACAGTACTGCAGGTCATACACGTCGTTCAGCGTGATAGTATTCACTCCACCCAGACGCTTCTTAATCCGCTTCATCCTGCTCTTGTCATGGCGAGAGGTATGAAACTTCTTCGGTAATTCCTTCTTCTCCTCTGGAGACGCAGTTGGGCAATTCGACACATAGTGTGGCCCACTGCATTTAAGACATCCGTCTTTTGGTACGAGAGGTCGCTTCTTCTCTGAGTCCTGGTTTACTACAGATCGTGTCGCTCGATTGACATCCCCGCCCTTAGATTCATGTGTGCCACGCTGGCGACGGCCATGCTGGTCACTCAAACTCTTATGATCCTGGAGCTTGGGCACCTTCTCAGACCTAGCGAACCTCTCCTCGTTGCGTGAACGTTTGCGACGGCGAAAGTCGCGATCCTGCTCCAACGCCTTTTCCAAGATCAGGTCATGGAGTTTTAACTCGTCACTACGCGCCTCCGTCGATTGGAAACGAATAGCAGTTTGCACATCTGCTTTGAGCTCACTGGGCGTCAGTGACTCAATAAGCAGTTTACACTTCTCTTTTTGACCGTGCTGACCTTCAAAACAGGTCACTAGACCGTGTTCTTCGATCAGTTCGTTGCAAAGCATGAAGTACTGCAGCACGCGCTCGTTCACGTCTGTTTCAGACATGTTAAGACGCAGCTTCTTACCAAAAAGCATATCTATGTCGGGAAGTGTGT